CCGTATGCTTCAAATCAGGTAGCTCTTGATAATAGCAAGCAAACGAGGGGAAATAATTATCATTTAAAGTTCTTTTATTTTCTTAAAACTACAATTTTTATTTTCTTTATCCATCGTTAAGATTGAGAATGACCTCACATGCTCTGATTCTAATTAAATGAATTTGAATTTAAAGGTTTGATGTAAACTCGGACAGCAAAAGTGATACATAGCCCCTTTATGAACTATTTCTACAATATTTAAAAAAAATCTTTTATGAACAACGCCATACTTTGAATAAATTGAGGAATGGTAAATTTCATACGGAAGAGATATTCCGAAAACTGATTTAGAGAAAGAGGAGGAGTAGGAGAAAGAGAGAGAGAGAGAGAAAAAAAAAAGAGAGAGAGAGAGAGAGAGAGAGGGGAGGAGATTAATAGAGACAGAGAATAAAGCATATTTCTTGATATCAAGAATTAAATTCTTGATATCACGAAATCGAATTCCCGATATCACTAAATCGAATTCTTGATCTCAAGAATTACCATTGCTTTACAACATAAAATTATTTCTTGATATCAAGAATTGATTTCTTGATATCAATTAATAATAAAACGGCTTGCCATAAGATCGCGCCTGCTCGCCACAACTCGAGGTTCCAACTCGGCTAAGTGGGAGCCCTGCTTTAGAAATGGAGGGAACATAAATTATGAACGGGAAAGGGGGGGGGGGGGCGGAGAGAAAGAGACAAAAAAGGTGAGATTTATATCGATAATGATAGATAAAAGTGAAAGAGAGAGAGAGAGAGAGATTCCGAAAGAGGGAGAGAGAGAGAGAGTAACGAAAAGAGGCAAAGTAGTGAAGAGAGCCTACATAAGCCAGAGAGTTTGCAAGGGGAGAAGTTGTGTATTGTTTATTCATCCACACGACGTACTACTGTACTGTGTCGGCTTACCTCTGTCAATGACCCCGTGATCTTTAATCGCACTCCGATTCCCCTGCATGGTGGTGAATACGAGAGTAAGCAATGAAAACAGCGATGCATGACCACGCTTCGAACTCGTGATCAAAATATCTGCTTGAAAAACTTTAAAATTACCCTCCACCCTAGCTCCCCCCCCCCTCCCCCCTCCCCCTCCCCCTCCCCCTCCCCCTCCCCCTCCCACTCCCCCTATTTTTTCAGTCATAATGCAGTTATGATTCTTGTTTACATCAGGAAATACATGACGGTGTGATGAGGCCGTTACTCCTCCACAATCAGAGTACAATGAGGCCTCCCTGCCCCGCTTTGTTATTTTGTATCTTCTTTTTTTTCTAACATGAAATGCACAATTTAGGTTACGTAATACCTTTTAGTGTTCATTATAAAATGGGTTCAAGAATGTAGCCAATGAGAAGCGTCGAAATGGATCACGTGGGCGTGCATTCATTTTTACCATATGCACAGGGAGGGGAATTTTGTGATAACAACCGTTGATTTTTCGACTTTATACTCGTATTGTAGACCCATATTATAAATCGAATACTACATGTTTTTAGCTCGTGCATTTGTGATATGCACTGCTCTTGGTTAAAGAGGCATGTTCCCCGTATTCCTGAGGGCGTTCGTTGTTAAAGGTACTATGTCCCATTTGCAGGCCGCCGGCGGACGGTGCTAGCTGCCTATTGACACCAACAGAACACGGCTCTTACGCAGATGGCATGTTCCGAATGCCCGCACAATGCCGATTATCGCATACATGTGCCGAAGTAATACCAATCGCAGTTCGGTTCTAAGATTTGGCTGCTGTTTCCGCCCACTTTCGTGACGTCAGGATCGGCAACGATCAGCTGGCTTGACGAAGGCAGGCCAGGCCGCGCGTACTTTGATTGACAGCTGTATGCAAATTAGAAGTCGATCTTCGGAACCAAGATGGCGATGACTAGAGCAGCGATAACTACAATGGCGGGAACGTGCCCCTTTAAGTCACAATGAGACAGAGAATAAACTCGGGAAGTCTCGTTTATTATCCTACTGTGACAGTGACCTGCGTGCAATGCACTAATTCACTCGCAAAAATATATAATGCAAGACAGCGCGATGTAAGTTGACTATGGTCTGATGCATACATGTGCGTTAAAGGGAAAGTCCACCCTGAAATTAAGTTAGTTTTAATAGGAGTAGAAAAATGAGAGAAACAAGTCAGTGAAAGTTTGAGCAAATTCCGATTAAAAATAAGGAAGTTAGGATTTTTTAAGTTGTGATCAATCAAACACAAATTGGCAACTCTATGACGTATCATGCGAGCTCAACTTCCATTTGCTCAGTACTAAAAAATCTAAAATTTTCATTTTTTTCTCAAGAAAAATTTCAACCATACATGCACCCTAAATATGATAATTGCAAATATGTTTCTATACTCCCCCTGCAAGGAACAAATATATATTCCGTCATCAATAACGAAGAAAACATGATTTTATGGAATATTATGCACAAAACAAATGAAGGAGAGCTCGTGTAATAAGTCACAGAGTTGCCAATTTGTATTTGATTGATCACAACTTCAATAATTCATAACTTTCTTATTTTCATTCAGAATTTGCTCAAACTTTCACTCACCTGATTTTCTTATTATTCTGCCTCTATCGAAACAAACTTATTTTGGGGGTGGACTTTCCCTTTAAGATAATAGTATACTCACTATATCTTCCTGTGAACTTTGGATGCACTATTAACTGTTCAATAGTCATTATAGTAATTCGTGCACAGGTCAAGTTTGTATATTGTGAACTTCGGCAGTGCAAAGATCAGGTTTTTTGTTTTTTTATCGTAACTTGTTTCATATCGTTAGTTTTAATTACTTGTTTATCATTGTGGTTTGATGTTAATATGCTTTATTTGTTCAATTTATTGTCTTTTTCTTCCTACTAGTGTTATATGTATAATTTTGTTTTGAGAATTTGTGTATAATTATGTGTATTTTTTATTGAGACATGGCCTTATGGAAGACCAGTTTTTAATCTGAATGAAACCCTGTTTAAATATGTGAAATAAATAAATAAATAAATACAAAATATCTCTAGCTAATTTAGTTGTGGTTACGTACAAAACTATTTGCGACGGTAATGTGTGTGTTTTATATACAGTCACGACGAGACTTGAAAAGCAGATGTTATAAACATGGACCTACTACGACCTAGCCTTTTGACAAGGCCTCGTTGACTCTGGCTAAGCGGCTGAGATGAGTCTAGATACCCGGAGTGAACGCGCGACCGAATGACGAATGTCCAGGTCTGGACAATTCGCACTGGCGTTCATTCAGGTTTTCGCGATTAGTCTCTTTTTAGTCGGTCGGCGTCTATCAGGCATGTGGCCTTGTTTAAAGGCTAACTACGACCATGTTATAAAGTAACTTCTGTTTTGATTGGACTCTTTTAGACTCTGAATTTTATAAAAGGTTGTGTTTCTTACGATATCTTCCAAAAGATGTCACGAGTAATACTACATGTACTATCGAGACCAAGCAATTCTGCGAATAATGGTGATAAAATTTGATATTATGATTTTTATTTCGCAATTGTGTTGACAAGAATTAATGAAGTTTTTGATTTGGGGCATTCTGTTTATATTTGTCACATATTATCGTCAAACAAGAGCGGATCGAGGATATTATGTATGTATATTGTAATATTGTATACATTTATTAGTCATCTGAAACAAATACAGACTATACCTGTACGCTCACTCCTCAACACCTAATCCTAAGAAGAAAAGAGGAAACCCAGAATAATCAAAGTCATAAAATCAATAAGTAAATCCATAAGGCGGCGTAATAATCCTGATCCTAATTTGAATGTGTTACCATATACTTGTGTATATATAGCCATGTAAAACAAGGAGGTACCAGCACCTCCTTGGTAAAACCATGGATTGATCACTTCACCTGATGAGAATAAATCGAAAGCGCTTGTGAAGTTCCATCATGCCTCGTGGATATGTGTATTCCATCTAGCTAGAATTATTGACATATTTTCTACTAAAATTACATACATTAAGTAAAATTGGGGGCCGTTTGAGAAATTATGTAGTATTTATACTTCTATAGGGGCAGCACAATCGAATTGGGGTAACAAGTTCGCAGGTACACGGTTGGGGGGGGGGGGGGGGGGGGGAGGAGCGGAAGGATTTCCCCCTTTTGTGCAGTTCATGAAAGGGGACATTTTACGCCCCTGCCTCAAAAGCTGTCACGGCATATACTAGTATGAGCCTAAAAATGTTAAGAACGTAATGTTCTGTGCTGTGATTTCATTTCACGTGTTACATGCTGGAGATGCATCTTTAAGCGTCATACAAATTGGATGCCCTGACAATTTTTGTTCGGTCCGCCTCTTTCTATACATGGTGCTCGTAATTCATTATTTATATCGACCCAATTAGAGGTTGAGTATATCCATTGACACTCTTTCTTATACAGTTTCTAAAGTTTGGTTAGTATAAGGCCTTCAACTTCAAACCTGTTTGCGTTGACAGGTGATTGTAATATAAGAAGGCAATGGCCTAGATTATTAACGACCCTGAACAGTCTAGTTCAAAACAAAGTACTTCCAGATTTATGTCTGTGAGAGAATGACTAGATCTATATCACACACCCATGAAAAGGCATTGACACACACACATAGGATTACACCTACGCGCGGAAATAGCAAATAGGATGTCCGCCGTGAAACACCTCCTCGCACTTCAAACGAAACACGTCCGCTTACAAAAGTGCAGCGTGTGCCCGCGAGCTCAACCTACTACTACCACTGACTTCTACACTATATCCCAGGGAGAATCTTGTGCACAGAGGGCTAAACAGAATGGTAAATTGCGCTGGTGTACTACGTTAGTTTAATACTGAACACTCTCTTGTGTAACTACTATCTCTGACGAAGTTACACGAAGCAGACTGTGAAACCGGGCTGCATTCGCCGCGATCACATTCACGGATAATCTATTTTTTTCTTCGGTTAAAATTAAGATGATGTGATTTGTTTTCATTTTCCGCAGACGATTATTTCATTATGACTGATTTTATTTAACGGAACAACAATTTCATTGAAAGCGTTTTCATGCAGAGAGAGAGAGAGAGAATTCAAGACGCTGTTTTAATTATCTCAGTTTGAGTTAAAGTTACGAATTTTCGGCTGTTCTTGGATAACTTTATGACTGCTTGAAATAACTTTCGCTGGAATTATTGCCAAAGCGATGAGTGTTGAGGAAGTGGACATATTGATATTTTAACTTATTTGTGAGAAATTACCAGGTAAGCTCAATACACCCAAGGATTCAATTAATTTCATTTGAGTGAAGATATTATGAGAAATTGTGAGTTTGTGGAGGTATAAAAAGGATGGCTGTTTCGTCGTTTGAAAATTCTTATAAATCAATAATCAATCAGAAGTTTCGGGCCCACCAACATTTTAGTTGAGGAGGGCAAAAGACTATTATGTGTATTTGTTCAAATATCTTACATCTGCCGCCCCTTCCCAAACGGAATTCATAAACTACAGCAAGCATTATCGGAGGCACGTTTGTGAAGCTGCTAAAGTGTAACCTCACGCTATAGTGTAACCTAACGCCTAAGAAACTGAAAAAAGGTTCACTTCAGCGGATACGCTATATACACACTGATACACAGTGGAACCGTTATTGAGGAGCACACGCTAACCGTAATTTGTTGGGAAACACAAGCGAACCATAATAGTGGCTCTGAAGGGACATCGCGAATCACAAACTTTGAAGTGAAATTCGTGATGAAAATATGCGACAAATCTTATATTTTTTCTCGATTTTTTAATTTATTTAGTTATATTCTATTTCCTTTATCTCTGCTTTCTTTCTCTTTCTCTCTCTTCCTCTCTTTCTTAATATATCTCACTTCTATAACCCCCCTCTCTCACTCTCTCTCTCATCTCCTTCTCTCTCTCTCTCTCTCTCTCTCGTTATCCTTCTCTCTCTTCTCTATATCTTCCCCGCCATTTCTTTTTTTCTCTCTGTCTCTCTCATCTTCTTCTTCCTTTTTCTTTCTATCTATTAATTGCTGTTTTGCTATAGCCGAGCTTTAGAGCCTTTCTACATTGTTGGAAGGCCTAACAATTTGATAGACACCAGGCTGATGGACACAATTAAGACACATTTCTGAATGGATTTTCAAAACATGTTTATGAAGACGAATATAGTGATGAAAGTACAACATTAGGGTTTTCTGCGTACAACACAAACCTAAATAAATTATTGGGCACTCCTTCGTCAAATTCGTCTTCAAACATATTTGTTTTATAAATCATTGCAGAAGTGTGTTAAATGTCATCCTCTTTCACATCATTATATAATTTAACTGAAATTTTGCTATAAAATATTAAGACGATTTTGGGCTCCCAACACTTTAGAGGGGCTGTGTTTATAGTGCGTTCATTACATACATTCAGAAACATAAGGGAAAGCTCAATTTGATACGCTGACCGTTTTAAACGTAGTATAAATTCAAACATCTTTGGTTCTAACCAACCACATGGCCTCATGATTGTTTCACGGTGAAAGAATAATGTCTGTGAAAATGTCAGGTGTTTACAGTCAGACCGCAGCGCGCGCGTTAATGAGGCTGAAAGCTGATTTTTATTCAGCGATATCTGGCGATCACATAACATTTACGTCTGCTGAATTTCCATGCGCTTTTCAGTGAGATTTGTAGGGGTGTACATGTAGCTGCGTTTTTGGTCGTTAACTTCATTCAACATGGCAGCATGCAACGGAAAGTCACTCTCGAGATTTTCAGCATCAGTTTGATATGTAATTTGCCATATTTCGCAATTTGTAAACAATAATTTTCACAACTTTTATTGACGCTATTTTTGTAACATTTCAACTGCTGTTTTGACCCGGGAATTTCACTTTTGGTTCCTGACTTTGGGACAAAATAAATTTGTCCACTTTGAGATTCGTTCGAAAGATGAAAAGTCACTGATCAAAAATATGTCAAAACCTAATTGACGCAAAATCATGTTCTTTTTATAATCATAGTAATTAAGACCCTAAAAACCCGGAAATTACCAATTTGTTCTTTTTATGATAGCGCGAAATTGTGTGATTTCATACTCGTGCACGCTCGCCGTCTGAGCAATGGCAATGCATAACTGATTATTAAACTCCAGGGAGCTCCGCCGCGCCATCGACTAGCCGAAAAAAAATTTAGAAAAATGATTAAAAAAGAAATACATTAGAAAAGAAACATCTACATGGCATGTGAGGTATTTGATCTCGGGGTCCTTAGATTGTTGTCAAGACGGCCTACGCGCACGTGCCCTACAGGCGCACGCCACAACGCATGGTTACCAAGATGTGGTATTCAGAATGTTAATAAACCAAAGCGAAACATATGTGACGTAGTTGACGTAGTTGACCAATCAGAACTCTCTATTATCACATCGGCAAAATTTACTACTTTTTTTAATTATTCATGAACATGAGCGTGATCTTTTTTGGTTCCTGACTTTGGGACAGCGTAAAATATAATAATTTTGATATCATTGTAAAGAAAAATATTTATGCTTTATGCTGATTATAACATCTTCTTGACGCAAGAATGATTTCTATGTGAAAATTAGCCCTACTCTTTAGATAGATTTATCGTCGAAAAACCCCATTTTCAAGGCGAAATATCTGTTTCCAAAATATATCTAACATGATTGTCATATAAGTATATAGAGAGTGCAACTTCTTATCTTTAAAATAAGACCCATTTCATGAGAAATGAACAATTATAAAGGCAAAAACTGCCGATCGGGAAGACCGTCTGCACTACTCATTACGTATGCGAGACACGTAAATTCTTGCATACGTGCTGAATAAAATAGAGGGTTTTCGCACCGGCTGCGGTCTGACTGTTTAAGGCCCCTCTAAAGTTTTGGGAGCCCCACAAATTTCATGGCAAAACATTGATCTACATTTGCCACTCTCCACCCAGGTGTTAATTAATGGGTACCCGGAAAGATGCGATACTAATGTGCTTAGATTAGCAAGTGTGCGCTTGAAAAAAAAAATATGACGCCTGGCTGGAATGCTCCCAAGGGAGTGAAGAATGTGCATACATTGTGTGCGGGTAAGCCTGAATCCATTGACCCGGGTAATTATATGATTGCAGGGCCCTCAGGGAGAACAGTATAAATACTGATGAGGCCAGGCGCGGATCCAGGTTTTTTCGGGGAGGTGGGGGTGGGGGGGGGGGGGGCAAATTTGAAATTATGCGAGCCAAATATTGGTACGTAATGGTGACACCGGCAATGGCAAAAACGTTTGGGGGGGTAGACGAAAAAATCCCCATCACCCCACTCTTATATGCAGGTCCCGCTGAACATTTCTCGGCGGGGGTCAAGGGTGGAGCCCCCAGAAGCTTAGGGGGTATAGGCATTGAATTACTGTCAGATGAGCATATTTTGATACCTTATTTGTGACTCTGGCAGGACACAAATTGACGTGGGGTCCAGGGTGCGAAGCCCCCTGAAGCTCAGGGGTTTGGGGCAATACATTACGGTCAGATGAGCAATTTAAAAAAAGAAAAAATGGCCCTGGAAATTAGAAAATTACGTCGTCAGATATTTCGTTCAGTGGCTTAGCAGGGGGGAGGGAACATTTTTTGTTGCTGCTTTCTTTAGCATGGGCCACTTTTTATGCCGTAGAGCGGTGGTGGTGATGATGATAATGATAATGATGATATGCGAGATGGCCATCTCGTGCAAGATTTCCTTACGTAGGCCTGCCCTATCTCCCTCAAAATCTTGATGGCTGATAAAGATATTTTGATTTTGATTATTTTTATTTTTATTTAAAGGGTGAGAAAAGAGTTTTAAAACGTCGAAACAATTTTGAAAAAACAACTAAATGATAAGTTAAAGCCCCTCTAAAGTGTTGGAGTCTTACACATGAATGGAAGAAAAAAAAGTATGCACCAAAGCAAGCCATTTATGCATCAATTAAAAAAAAAAAAATCACATCAGAAGGGGCACATCCCCCCCCCCCTCAGACACCCCCTCCCCTTGCGTTCTTGTTCCTGTTAATTAAACTTACGACTGTTTTCTTTTTAATATGGCAAAAATTATGCACCAAATCGAGCAATTTATGCATCAATTGAAGAAAAAAAATTAAACTCTGTGGGGGGGGGGGGGGGGGGTACATCCCTCTCAGACACCCCCTTCCTTCATTGCACGTCCATTCGCCTCCCCCCCCCCCCCAACAAAATAACCTGGCGCTTAAGTGTAACCTGCTGCTAAAGGGTAACCTGCTGCTAAAATATAACCTGCTGCTAAAGTGTAATCTGCTGCTAAAGTGTAACTTGCTGCTAAAGTGTAACTTGATCAATTCGGCGTCATTTTTTAAAAAAATCTCACGATCTCCTGAGATATGTTATGCTTAGTTCACACCGACGCCGAATTGATGGCGCATTAAATCGCCGAGCAAAGCGGCGGCAAAGCGTAACAAAGCTTAATTAAAGCGTAAAGACCGTAACAGAGCGTGAGAAAGCTTTGAGCAATTCGGGACATTCGGCAAGAGCGCCAAATTTTTTTAAACTGTTTAAAAATTTGAGGCGATCTGTCACGAATTGCGTAAAGCGGGGAGAGCGTATTAAAGCTTATCAAAGCGTCACAAAGCTTATCAAAGTTTTGCTCAAAGCGTAGGAAAGCTTAACAGAGTTTAAATTTTTGGCGCTCTTGCCGAATGTCCCGAATTGCTCAAAGCTTTCTCACGCTCTATTACGGTCTTTACGCTTTAATTAAGCTTTGTTACGCTTTGCCGCCGCTTTGTTCGCCGATTTAATGTGCCATCAATTCGGCGTCGGTGTGAACTTAGCATAACATATCTCAGGAGATCGTGAGATTTTTTGAAAAAATGACGCCGAATTGATCGCCGATTTAAAGCGCGACATTCGGCGTCGGTGTGAACTAGGCATTAGCATTAAGTGTAACTTGCTGCTATAGTGTAACCTGCTGCTAAAGTGTAACCTGCTGCTAAAGTGTAACTTGCTGCTAAAGTGTAACCTGCTGCTAAAGTGTAACCGGCTGCTATAGTGTAACCTGCTGCTAAAGTGTAACCTGCTGCTAAAGTGTAACCTGCTGCTAAAGTGTAACCTGATGTTAAAGTGTAACCTGCTGCCATGGGCGGTGCCACAGGGGGCGGGGGGGGGGGGGACAGGGGAGCACCTGTAAATTTTTTATTATTCATTTTCTCTAAAGCAGAAGTGTTTTAGGGGCAAATTTTTTGTTGCTTATA